TCCCCTCCGCGGCGCCCCGAGCGCGCGCGCGGCCGCCGAGCCCCCGCCCGACCCCGGCCCGGCATCACTCACACAGCCCGAGCACCGCGGCCAGCACCGACCACAGCCAGCGCCGGCGAGCCGGGGGGGCGATCAGTGCCACGGCTCCGACGGCCTCCGCCATCCTGCTCCCGCCGCTCCGCTCCGCCGGCTTCCCGCTGCGGTCGGCTCGACCTCACGGCTCCGAGTCGCGGCCGCGGGCGCCAGGACACCTCCGCGCCACCGCTCCCCGCTCCCGGCCCCAGCGGCCAGCCGCCAGCCCTCAGCCCAGCCGCAGGCCCCACCCCCGGACCCGCCCCTCTGCCCGCTCATTGGTCCACCCCGCATCCCGTGAGAGGAACCATTGGACGACGCGAGTGCCCCTCTAGCGAGGCCCCGCCCCCGGGTCCCACCCTTGGTGTGTCAGTGCTGCATGCCCGCGAACAGTGCCTCTGCAGCGGCCCTAAGCCGAGCCTGCCTGCGTGGCTGGCCCTGGGGTTGCCCTGCTGCCCACCGCCGCCAGAGTCTGCCCTCCCCGCGTGGGGGCCAGTCCCACAGATCTCTTCAGGTTCCTCCCCGCGCTCTCCTCCAATTCCTGATCTCATCCCTCGCTAGGTTCTGCTTGGTTGCTCCCGGTCTCCCCTAAAGAAAAGCAATTAATTTAGGGACGGGGTGCGGGAAGGGGGGGGGGGAGCGAAGTGTGAGACGAGAGACTTTCCATTCAGTCGTCCAGACATAAAAGGACCCACCGTCCCTTTGACCTGTGCCCAGGGTCTGTCTTGGCCTGAACTGGACCATTTGTGTTGCAACCTGAGACGTCTCCATCTTGCCCTAACCTCTGAGCAGCCCCTCTTCTAGCTTTCAAAAGACAGGAATGGGAATTGGAACTCTTTCCCGCCACCTAGATCACCAGTGAATGCGCTTACTGTTTGTTTAGCATATCAGTGTCCCTCGGCCTGTAAGTTAGGACGGGGGAAGGTGTCCCGCCTCGATTCTGAACTTGCCGAGTCCAGAACAGTGCCTGGCTGCAAGAGAACTGCCCAACAAATCCTTAAAGAGCAGGATCCTGAGAATAGCCTCCAAAGGGGAAAGGGAAAAAGAGAGGGACCAGCACACAAAACGGATGAGCGTGAAGGAAAAATAGGAAAATCCAAGGAAGAGTGTTGGGTAGGACAACAAGTTTTAGACAGGAGCAAGACTAGAGGCAGAGCATTGTTGCTGGAGTCCAAACTGCGGGGAAACTGCAGCCCCCCCCCCCGGTTCAGGGTTTTGCGGAAAGCCTGTCTTAACAGTGTCCTTCTGATGTCTGTGCTGTTCCAGGCTATTGACCATGTAGTAGCGCAAGCTCCTAATTACCAGGCAATTAGATAAAACCAGGAGAGAGCATATCACCAGTGTTTCCTCTGTCCCCAGGTCCTTCCAATGAGTGGCAGTGTTCGCTGAACTGCAGGCACCAGCCCCGAGACTTCACTCTGGGGGAGCACCCCTCTAGCAGCATAGGCAGCCTGATACTCAATTTCGAAAACAAAGCTTTTGGGTTCTCCTGTTGTTGGAACTTGCTTTGCAGACCAGGTTGGCCTCTAACAGAGATCTGCCCGCCTCTGCCTCCTGCGTGTTCAAATGAAAAGGCCCTGAATGCCGGAATGAAAGGCACGGGCCACCACAGTCACCTCAAAGCAGTTCTTGAAGAGAAAGCAAATAAGGCCGGTCGGAGGCTAATGGAAACAGCGGTTCTCACAGACGTGTGTCAAAGCTTGGCAGATTGTACGTGCACTTCAACACGGAAACGCTTGGCCAAGAGGACTCTGGGAAGGATTTATGAAAGATGTCATATTCGAGGTGGGCTTTTAATGAATGAAAAGTTTACTAGAGAAACAGAAGAAGCAAGCTGTGGAGGGTGAGTCTGAGAGAGGGCTGTTTCAAGTTTGAGGACAGCCTAGGCTGCAGCGTGAGTTCTAAGCCAGCCTGCACCACAGTGCAGAGTAGCCTTTGAGAGTCTTACGTCAATAAATAAACGAATAAAACAAAAACAGAACAGGAACAGCAAACTCAGAAGACAGGAAAATGTGCATCAGGCATGTGTGGGTACACACACATCAGATGTGAAACAGCTTTCCGTCTCGAGGGAGAGAAAAGGGAAAGAAAGAATGCCAGCCGTGTGCACAGCAGTGATATTTCGAAGACGCTTAAGCTATTCTGTGGAGAGTAGAGGGTGATGTGACGAAAGGGGAGTGACACAGTCAGGTCTGTACTGGGGGGAGGGAATGCTTGCCTTTGGTCCTGACCTCAGGAGGCGGAAGCAGACAGTTTTTGTTGAGTTCCTTCTACACAGGGAGTTCCAGGTCTGACAGGATTACACACTGAGACCCTGGCACAGAAGGAAAGAAAGAGAGATAAAGAAAGGGCTGAAAGAGCAGGTGGAGATGGAGAGGAAGGCAGCATTTGAGAAGTAGTGCAGATTTAGATTGATATAAGATCCTATAAACCGAGTAGGAAATAACAGTCAAGAAAAAGAGTTCTGATTTCTAGACTGTCAACCTTGTCTTTAAGATCAGTGTCTACCGTCTTTTCAGCCGGCTACTTCCTCCAGGTGACCACCTCAGTCTGCAGCTGTCAGTACCATCACCTTCCAGGACCTTTGTCTGACATCTCCAGAATCCAGGAAATTTTGGTCAGGCTGTGCCTCAAGGTGGAGGACTGGATGGTGAGTAGGATAGAGGATGACATGGGTGACTCCCTCATTGGTGGAAATGCTTCCAGAGAAGGCCAGAGGGCCAAGGGACCAAAAGCACAATAATGACAGGTGAAGGAAGCTTCTCCAACAGGAAACTGGCTTCACAAGAGACCAGGGGCCTAAAACAAGTCATCAGAGATGGGTGTTAACTCACTCAAAATAAACCTGGAGAGCAGAAGCAAGAAAATGTAAAACCCTTTATGACCTGAGCTACAGTAAGCACATCCTGGTCAGCTTCAATAACTACCAGTTTTGTTTTTTTATGAGTAAAAGCATTGCTCTTCTGGACTCTGTTACTCCAGATAGGATTTTCTCCCTTTTTAAATTAAATTTTTATTTTTTATGTTAATTACAGTTTATTCACTTTGTATCCCAGCTGTAGCCTCCTCCCTCATTCCCTCCCAATTCCACCCTCGCTCCCTCTTCTACTCCCATGCCCCTCTTCAAGTCCACTGATAGGGGAGGTCCTCCTCCACAGCCATCTGACCTTAGCTTATCAGGTCTCTCCGGGACTGGCTGCACTGTCCTCCTCTGTGGCCTGGCAAAGCTGCTTCCCCCCCTTGGGGGGGGGGGGTTACATGGTCAAAGAGCCAGCCACTGAGTTCATGTCAGAGACAGTCCCTGTTCCCCTTACTAGGGAACCCACTTGGATACTGAGCTGCCATGGGCTACATCTGAGCAGGGGCTCTAGGTTATATCCATACATGGTCCTTGGTTGGAGTATCAGTCTCAAAAAAGACCCCTGTGCCCAGATATTTTGGTTCTGTTGCTCTCCTTGTAGAGCTCCTATCCCCTCCAGGTCTTTCAATCTCCCCCTTCTTTTATAAGATTCCCTGCACTCTGCCCAAAGTTTGGTTATGAGTCTCAGCATCTGCTTTGATACCCTGCTGGGTAGAGTCTTTCAGGGGCCCTCTGTGGGAGGCTCCTGTCCTGTTTCCTGTTTTCTCCCTCTTCCAATGTCCATCCTGTTTGTCTTTCTGATGAGGATTGATCATCTTACCCAGCGTCCTCCTTCTTGCTTAGCTTCTTTAGGTGTACAGATTTTAGTATGTTTATCCTATATTGTAGGTCTAGTATCCACTTATAAGTGAGTATATACCATGAGCGTCTTTCATGCTTCTGGGATACCTTACTCAGGATGATCTTTTCTAGTTCCCACCATTTGCCTGCAAACTTCTTATTTTCCTTGTTTCTAATTGCTGAGTAGTATTCCATTGTGTAAATGAACCACAATTTCCACAGTTTCTGTATCCATTCCTCCGTTGAGGGACACAGACAGGATTTCCTTTAAGAATGGTTTAGAAATGAAAAAAAAAATGCAAATAAATTGAGCACTTACATTGGCTCTGTTGACAGTCACCAAACTTGCCTGCTGCTTGTCATGCATATAACACCAAACCCAAGACAAATAAGACTGATGTCATTTGAACTCTTCTTTAATTTTGGCTGTGATTTATTTAGAGTAGAGATAGAGGCCTAATATATATATATATATATATATATATATATATATATATATATATATATATAATCATGACATGTATCTTGTCTAAAAATAAAGTGTATTTAAAAAAAAATATTAGCACAAGAAAATGAAACGCTGTGATCTGCAGGTAGGGGAAAATGTTCTGAACTCTGAGTGGATGACCAACCATTAGACCCAAAGATGAGTCCAAGGACTGCTATGATGCCTCATCCCGTAAAGACACTAGCCCCCAAGCCTCAAGATTTGACCTCAGCCCCTGGGACCAACATGGTGGAAGGGGATGGTAAACCCTGTGATTTAAACTCCTACAAGCTGTTCCATGACCTCCACGTACACACTATAGCCCACACGCATTATGTAAATAAATGTAAAATTTTTTTTTTAAAGTTATGAATTCAAGTTATGGCAGTTCGAATGAAAATGGCCCCGAAAGGCCCATATATCTGAATACTCGGTGGAACTGTTTGGGAAGGATTAGGAGGTGTGGCATTATTGGAAGAGGTGTGGCACTGGGGGTGGCCCTAAGGCTTCAAAAGCCCACGCCATTTCCAGTTGGTGCTTGCTTGTGTTCTGTCTCTGTCTCTCTTTGTGTGTCTGTCTCTCTCTCTCTCTTTGTGCTTGTGGGTCAGATGTGAGCTCTCACCTACTGCTACATGCAAGGCCACGCCTGCCTGCCTGCTGCCGTATTCTCCAGCCCTTTGGAACGGAAGGCAAGTCCCAACCAACTCCTCTGGAGGTTTTCTGGGTCATGCTGTCTCTTCCCAGCAACAGAAAGGTGGCTAAGACACCGGGCCATCCTGAGAAAGGTTTGCCCAAACAAAGTTAGCTTCGTTCACAGTCCTATAGAAAGAACGCCTTAGGGAAATATCTCTTATCCCGAAGAGATATTTTTGCTAGAAAAGTTTGCATCTGGAAATCAAGGTTTTCGTTTCTTCCGAGCCTACAGACAGAAAAGTATGGGAGTGAGGGTAATCAGGTTCTCAGAGGAGGAGCAATGACTAAAGGAGAAGTGACAAGGGTGGAGGCTCAGCGGCCTGCTGTCACCCTG